CGGCTTAGAGCATAGTGACGGGAAACTGAGAACCTTAAAGAGGGGTCCCAGCTCGCGTAGCGAATAAACTGTCAGACCTTGCTTCTGGGGAGAGGCGGGGGTCCTGTGGGCAGAAGCGAGCTGTGTGCTTTTTCACCGGAGCCTCAGAACTTTCTCTATTTCACATGTACCTTCCTCAGATGTATTTCTCTCGAGTTTAAAGCACAGTCTCTGCAGATTTCCTGAGGTCCACAGGGAACCTCTGAGCGCCTCCCCACTGGTCCCCAGAGGCCATCCTAATCAGGCCTTTCAGACACAGCTGGAAGCCACTTCTCTCACTTGATACGTACACGAACTGTCCCTTGGCCGCGTCTGAGCCTGACTGCTCGCAGGTGACCCCTTTCCTCTGAAGATAAACACGTCCCTGTCTTTGCCTGTGCATTTGGAGTAATACCAGCTCACTCGGGTGCATGGTCTTCTAGAAAGATCTCCAAAGGTAGCACAGGGTCCTATGGATGTGTGATTTGCCTGTCTTAGAATACTCTAGCTTTGATGTGAAGCATGTTATCCAAAATAACAATTTCTATTCTTCCTATACTCTTATAGGGTCAGAAATAGGAAACCTGTTTGAATCTTCTTGGTCCTCCTGTGTAATTCACTTTTTGTGTTTTTGTGAAATCCCGTTCTGATTTATGTATTCCCACGGCAGGGCAGTTAACCCATTTCTTCCTTAAGCTGCCTGGTAGGTAGTTTGCATTTCCCCCTCACCAGAGGCATGCGTGTCTCGGATGTGTCCGGCGCTGTGCAGCATGCCAGGCCTGGGACCAGGGAGCCAGGGGGCACAGGCTTTGGCTTCATGGGGCCTTCACCTCTCCCTGTTCCTCCAGCACGTGAACAGCCTGGACCAGAGCTTGGCAACATGCCGTTCTCCTAAAGTCACACAATCTCCACGGACTATGCGTCGCCTAAGCTTTTTGTGTGTACCGCTTTAAAACCTATAAACCAGAACACCCCCAGTTTTGTAAACCACTTTGTATTGTATGCATATACCAGACCAGTGATGATCACCGTCAGGTTTTATCTTACGTGGGTTTTTTTTTTTTTTCCCTACAGTGTTTTAATTAAGCTCTCCATTCCTTCCTCTTTCATGAGCAGAGCTGACTGTGCTGCTAGCTGACAGGATCGGGCTGGCCCGGTGGGAGGTGACGCAGGCCAGGGAGGACCCTGTGCCGCCTCTTCCATTCCCTCAGGACCTGTGGATGCTCCTTTTGTAGGAGGGGACTGTGAGGTCACCCCCTTCCCCTCCCCACAGCCCTTCTCTGTAAGGAACACGTCACAGTATTTTAGACATTAATACCCTGCGGATACATAGTCAACAAAAGAGCGGTGTTTAAATAAACTATACCAGCATCGTAAGTGACAAAAGTAACACACAAAACTAAATGTAGTAATAGCAAATAATGATACTAAGAGATCATTAGAGTAGCTAATGTTTTTGAAGCAATTACTATGTTACAGACCATAGTCTGAGCGCTTCATGCTTTTTTCCTCATTTAACCCCCACGGTGACCCTATTGGCTGGCCATATTCTGACCTAGCCTTTACATCTGAAACTAAAATCAGGCGCAGAACGTTTAGGCTGCTTGCTGCGTTCAGCACAGAGACGCGGCTGGCCCCTGGGGGACTTACAGCAGGAAAATGGGCTTGCGCATGGGGCTGCCAGGAGAGAGGGGCACCAAACCACCGAGGGGCCGGGGAGACCCCCGAGACGAAGGAACAGATACGTGGAGTCTTAAGGAAGCATTGGCTGGTTTTCTAGGTGAACGGGCAGAGGGGAAAAACCACACATCTGTACCCGAAGGAGCTGGTCTTGAGAGGGAGCTCTGCCGCTCGCTCGCCTCGGGACCCTGGGCAGCCAGCTCAGCTTCTTCATCGGAGCCGCAGACACCACCACGTCTGTTTGTTTATCAGACACACTACTGCCCAGACAGCTCTAGATGGGTTTGGTGGTCTTTATTAACCTGAGCTGCTTAACGTACGTGACTCACGCTTCTGCTGTCTTGCTCAGGTCGATGTGATCGTGACTCTGGGTGGGCTCGCGGGACGTTTCGACCAGATCATGGCGTCAGTGAGCACCCTGTTTCAAGCCACCAGGATCACGCCTCTGCCAGTCATAATCATCCAAGAGGAATCGCTCGTCTACCTGCTCCAGCCGGTAAGTGAAGAATAAGTACATTGCAAGCACTTTGCTTCCATGACCCTTCCAGCAGCTGGGTCAGCCGGGAGCAGCTGGGTCAGCCGGGAGAAGACGCCAGGCTACTTCTTGAGTTGCTAGCCCTCAGGCCAGGAGAAGCCCCAAAGACTTCGCTTCTTCTCATTTCATTTTATTGAGCCCAGGTGGGGAGAAAATCTTGTAGCTTTTAATGAAGTTGGCTAAGAATTAAATTATTTAACACTCTTGTGTTCTGAGCAGCTGTATGAGAGTGACACTTGAGAAAAAAAAAAGAAACAACAGCGGAAACAAGGCTTGGCAAATACTTCCGATGGAATTCTCATACGTTTCGAGTGTTGTCATTATAATTGGAAACTGGATCTGATTTTGCTGAGCACTTACAAGAAAACCTTTAGCTATTACTATGCATAAGTTGCCTACTTGTTAATTTCTCTGCCTCTGAATAAATTTTTAATGATGATGTCATTCATTTCCAGAGATAAACATCAAGGGTATTTTCTATCAATGCAATGCTTAGTACAGGGTTTTTACTAAATACACAGATTTTGTAAGTTAACTGGTGAGTTTCAAGTAACCATTTGGTAGCATGTTTTAGAAGGCAGTGGACCGCTCTCTCCTTTGCCTCTCACTAAGAGGT